ATTTTCAGGAAGAGACAACTGAACATGTGCTAAACTTTAACAAGCATCTCATCAAAAGTTTAAGGGTTTTCTGAAATCAGATATGTTGAGCTCAAGGGCACAGATATCACATCATAGCTTTAACCACAACATAATGTGCCAACTACCTTTTAAAGGTGAATAATGATTAAGAAGAAAAGAAGAAGAAGAAGAAGAAGCAAAAGAAGAAGAAGAAGAAGTAGCAGAAAAAGAAGAAGCAGCAGCAGAAAAAGAATAAGAAGAAGAAAAAGAAGAAGAAGAGGAAGAAAAAGAAGAAGCAGCAGCAGAAAAAGAAGAAGAAATAGCAGAAAAAGAAGAAGAAGAAAAGAAAGAAGAAGCAGCTACAGAAGGAGAAGAAGAAGAAGATGCAAAAGGAGAAGAAGAAGAAAATGCAAAAGGAGAAGAAGAAGAAGAAGAGAAGAACAAGAAGAAAGATCTGCAGTAGCATAACTGTCTCTGTCATATTTCTAGAGTTACCTCCCAAGACACAGACAAGACTTACTTGCTCATGTCATCCTGTCTTTCAGAAGCAAAGTAAAATGTTGTTCCTCCATTGTGGATCTTGAAAGCACTGTTGTTGGATAAAAACAAACACAGAGTAATCGAACTGGCAGATCACATGTATGATTCAACAATACAAGAACAGCTTTTAAATATAAAACCTCAACTAAGAAATATAAAAATAAATTTAAAATATAAATTTACAATAAATAATATACAAATACAGCTACAAATGTGTCTAATACAGCTGAAAAAAAATTACATCTAAAATATAAAAGTACAACAAATAATTTAAAAAGTACAGCTCAAAATACAAGCACAGCTAAAAGATAATAAAATACAGCTGAAAAAAAAATGTAATACAGCAGAAAGGTTTAAAGTATGTTTAACAATATATATGATAATAACAAATATACAAATGTATAGCACAGCAATATAACCAGAACTTAAAAATACAAGCGCCCGGCTCTCTAGCGTAGTTGGCTAAACCGGATTGTGCGGTGACCGGGTGATGAACTCCTTGTGGTCCGAGTTCACTTCCAGGGGTAGGCAGAAAAGCCACATTTCTCCCAGATTTACAGTGTTTACAATGGAATCAAGGCCGAAAGGTTGCGATATCCATAATACCGAGCCTAAGGGTTAACAACTCATGGCTTTTGGATATAAAACAAACAAACAAACAAAAATACAAGCACAGCTAAATGATATACAAGCACAGCTAAATGATATACAAGCTGTCTAAAATACAAACATAAATCAACTTTATTTCCTGACAGAGAGAGAGAAAGAGAGAGAGATGGGAGAGAGGAGAGAAAGAGAGAGATGGGAGGATGGAGAAAGACAACACAGGGGGGGGGGGTAATTGAGAGAAATTTAGAGAGGGGTGGGAAAGAGATAATGGAGGAAAGAAAGGAAGGACAGATAAAAAGATTCCTAACCAAAAATAGAATAATATAGATTTCAGTTTTAATGATGGTAAATCTGAATGTATTGCACATTATCAAAATTCAAGCAAACTGGATCTGTATTAATGTAACTCATTTTAATCATACAACTTCTGCTGCTGCCTATAATCTTCCAGTGGATCATAGGCTCTCCAAAATTCACATAAAGCCGTTATTTATTCTTCCCAAACTGCTCCCGAATACACATGGAGATCATAATGTTTATTATTATTCAACCACAGTAAAATCATAAATGGCCACTATTTTTTTCATTTAAATAATGAAATCACAAACAACTGCACAATTAATTGCCCAGCATGTACTGTCATGGATCTTCTCAGGCACACAGTAGAAAATTGACACCAACATATGAAAAACAGATCAAATAAACTTATCAGTAAACTGGCTGACTGTGAGTGCAGATGTTCACCCCACGCACTGTGTGATGTCGGTTTAATCCCCTGAGAGGCTTGAGAATTTAAAACAAATCCCAGTCTCTACACTTTTTTGGTGACTACTTGAACAAACAGCAGCTATTCTGCAACCTAAAAACCTCTCCCAACATACAACAACAATAGTAAAGATCCTATACAGAAAAAAAAACATAAACTATGTGGTATGTATAATGATAATGAAGCTCACAGAAATTAGGCATGCAAAGCAAACACAAACAACATTTCTCATTCATCATTAAATTATTTTTTCTCAAAACATCATGGACAACAGGGAATACAGTGCAAAACTATGTATTATAAACGACTCCATATGGGACAAACAGGTGCAGATGGCATACAATTTGTAGACAGAAGACATCTCATTATGGCAGAAACAGGAATTTCAGAATGACAAAAAGAGGAATCTCCCAGTGACAGAAACCATTTTTTTTTTAAAAAACAATAACAGAAATAAGAATTCCTTTCAGAAGGTAAAGGCTGACCAGCATGAAGACAGACCTGGACAACGGAGACAGACCTGGACAACGGAGACAGACCTGGACAACGGAGACAGACCTGGACAACAGAGACAGACCTGGACAACGGAGACAGACCTGGACAACGGAGACAGACCTGGACAACGGAGACAGACCTGGACAACGGAGACAGACCTAGACAACGGAGACAGACCTAGACAACGGAGACAGACCTGGACAACGGAGACAGACCTGGACAACGGAGACAGACCTGGACAACGGAGACAGACCTGGACAACGGAGACAGACCTAGACAGCGGAGACAGACCTGGACAACGGAGACAAACTGGGCAAGAAAAAACATGAGGCAGGGAATGAGACTTGCTGGCAGATAAGAACGGCAGCCATGTTCTGCATACGATCTCTTAAACTATAAAGATGATTATGACAAATTATAAATGAAATTTCCAAATACTGTGAACTGTTTATCTTGCAGCAAGGAGCCAAATATTTATTCATTATCAAACACAGTGATGTATTGTCTTATGCATCACAAGTTAAATGCTCAGTTATTATTAAATTGTTCGCCATATGGGTTTTAAGGTTCCATTTTTTTTGGGGTAGGGGGAAGATAGACTCCCCCCCCCCCCCCCTTCTGCAACAAGCATGTTGTAAGAGGCAACTAATTAAGGGTGTTTCCTTTGAACTCAGAATACATCTGCACAAGGCAAGGAACGTACAATCTGCATACAAATAAGCCACATTTGTAAAATGGATTTGCAAGCACATCTCGAATTTTGGAACAAGACTCAAGTCCAGAGATCACAGCCAGTGAAAGCCAAGAAGAAGAAGATCACACACAGTGAACTATCATCCTGTGCAGCACTCAGATAAATGTTAATGAACTATAACAGTCAGCTATCATTTTATGCAGCCTTGAGCCAAATGGTCAGTAATGATTTTTAAAAAAAAACTAACTGTAAATTGTCATTTTGAGAAAACTAAACAAATATGTACAACACAAAATATGAAACTAAATCACATAACAACTATACAATTACGAATGGAAGCATCTGCTGGCCAGGATAAGTTAAGTCAGACCAAACCTAGCCCTGCATACAACAACCAGAACTTACCTGTACACTCTGGCAAGTTCAGCAACGAGAAGGGAACAAAATTGGTATTCATGTAACACAAGCTTAAAGCAATAATTGATTAAGCGAGTATGTTCCAACGGTGCACAATGAAAGTAAACTGTCAGATACACACTAGTAACAGTTATCTGGCTGCTTTCAATGCATGTCCTGTTTAACACCAGAATCTTTGCCTCACCTCTTGATTCGCTGAGATTTGCTTAGTTCCCCCTGTGAGCTCCACACTGGTGGTTTATACCCTGACTAAATTTGTACAGGTAAAGTTTTACAAGAAAATTAATTGTATTTTATGTAACCGACTGAATTTTACAGGTTAAGAGTTCTGTATGATAAAGTGGAGAGTACTATGCAACCTATCATACCTGCCTCTTACAACTTGCATCTTCTTCATCTCTTAAACACAAACCTTCAACCAACTCGCATTAAGTCCTTTGTAGAGTTTTTGATGGTTGAATTTCGTAGCTAGAGTTTTCCACTAGATATTGTTACAGTTTAAAGTCACAAATATCAACTTCATTGCATTGTCCCACACAGCTTGGTCTGTCCCAGGACCTGCTGAAAGCATCGCACCAAGCAGGAACACTCTCGCAGCAATTCCCAGGAACCTCCTTAAAATGATACACAAGACCTGAACAACGTGGTCTGTGAAAGGAACCCACAAACTTAAGTGTGAGGCATACAGTTTGACTTCTTCACCAGGTAGCCCGTTTATGTTGAATGAGGTGGGCAATCACTCACATTAAACGGTTTTAATGTCATACATGAGGTCACAGTGCTTAAATTTTGGTTAGATTTTGATTTGATGTCATTAACCACACAGTTTCTCCACTCTACCAATGAGTTATCTAAATGTTGCCTATCAATCATCACATGTATACCCACTATAGTTTGATGTCAGACTAACCATACTATCTGTCCACTCTACCAATGAGTTATCTAAATGTTGCCTATCAATCATCACATGTATACCCACTATAGTTTGATGTCAGACTAACCACAGTTTCTCCACTCTACCAATGAGTTATCTAAAGGAAACATTTTGCTAAATAAATGACACAGAGATACATAAAAAAAAAAAGGTAAAGGACCCTTTTCCACGCCTTTAGGCATCTAGGGCATATAGGGCTAGACATATTTTTTTATAGACCAATCGGCACAAGATGGGTGATGTGGTCAACATCAGGCCGGCCGCCTCTACTTCCCGGGACTGCACCAGGTACCCACTCAAGGCTGGGTCGGCCTGGGAGCCAAAGTCATTTTTCAAAAGAGTCCGGCTCCGCTAGGGAGCGAACCCACAACCTTCCGATCCAGGGTGAGCATCTAGCCGCTCCGCTATGGCTACTCCCCACAGAGATTCACAATATTTGTTAAATGCAGACCTCATTTGCTAACTGTTTCCCACCCATCCAAACAATTAAAAACATGTGTATGTATATATGCAATTTCACATACTAAAACATGCGTCACACTTACGATTTCTTGGTTTTCAGTTTAGGAGCCGGCGACACTTGGAATGCTGGGAGATGAATAACACCCTCGGCTTTGAGATCCTGAATCAGAGATCAACAGCTGAGCTGAGACAAGAACTGATGTCACAGTACTCAGGACAGCCCCATAACACTCTGTCCCCAGTTTCAACAGCAAGTGCATATTTCCAGTTCTGATGGTTGCAACAGCAGTTTGATTATGTCTCTGTCCTACCATTCCTATGAGTGCAGAGTATTGGCCAGACTTCTTGGTCAGCCTGGCTGTACTTATTTCCTTTAGACTGTAACGATATTTTTCCATTCCACATTGTTTACTTGCTTCCTTAGGGCTTTGACCACATCTGGACTGCCATGCATCAGTACATCACTAAGTGGTGCAGAATCAGGCAATCTATTTGCCTATTTCTGAACACACCAGCATTTCCCAGAGAAAAGATTCAAAAGATGCCAACTACCCAGGAAATCAAGCAGACATCACAGACTGTAGGAAAGCCTGGGGTCAGAATTAAAGTAACATTGACATTCATCTGAACAATAAGCACACAGGACGAGATGAGCTGATGGCAGCAGGAATGTGAAACAGCTTGGATGGGCCCGGAACATGAACACAAATCTAAAGTGTTTCATAACCAGACAGTGTAAAACAGTTTCTATTTTTTTCCCCCGGTTGGTTGTTTTTATTCGCCAGTTCAATTTCATGACTTTGGTTTATGTTTTTAGTTTATATCTTTATGGTATGAATTAGGATATCTGTTTTCAGAAAGAAAAAAACATTCAAGTTTACCACTTTTTGTTTACTGTCCAAATCTGTGTAAAAGGACCCTTTTCATGTCATCAACACATCAGGTATATTTTGCTAGACTCATATTTCTGTGAATCAACTGGCACTTGGTAGGGGACATGGTCAACAGGGGACATGGTCAACAGGGGATATGGTCAACAGGGTACATGGTCAACAAGGTACATGGTCAACAGAGTACATGGTCAACATGGTCAACAAGGGACATGGTCAACAGGGGACATGGTCAACAGGAGACATGGTCAACAGGGGACATTAACACATCAGGTATATTTTGCTAGACTCATATTTCTGTGAATCAACTGGCACTTGGTAGGGGAAATGGTCAACAGGGGGCACGGTCAACAGGGGACACGGTCAACAGGGGACATGGTCAACAGGGGGCACGGTCAACAGGGGACACGGTCAACAGGGGACATGGTCAACAGGCTACATGGTCAACAGGGGACATGGTCAATAGGGGACATGGTCAATAGGGGACATGGTCAACAGGGGAGATGGTCAACAGGCTACATGGTCAACAAGGTACATGGTCAACAGGGGACATGGTCAATAGGGGACACGGTCAACAGGGGAGATGGTCAACAGGCTACATGGTCAACAGGGGACATGGTCAACAGGGGACATGGTCAACAGGGGAGATGATCAACAGGGGACATGGTCAACAGAGTACATGGTCAACAGGCTACATGGTCAACAGGGGACATGGTCAACAGGAGAGATAGTCAACAGGGGACATGGTCAATAGGGGACATGGACAACAGGGGACATGGTCAATAGGGGACATGGACAACAGGGGAGACGGTCAACAGGGGACATGGATAACAGGGGAGATGGTCAATAGGGGACATGGACAACAAGGGAGATGGTCAACAGGGGACATGGTCAACAGGGGACATGGTCAACAGGGGACATGGTCAACAGGGGACATGGTCAATAGGGGACATGGACAACAGGGGACATGGACAACAGGGGACATGGTCAATAGGGGACATGGACAACCGGGGAGACGGTCAACAGGGGACATGGACAACAGGGGAGATGGTCAATAGGGAACATGGTCAACAGAGGACATGGTCAACAGGGGACATGGTCAACAGGGGACATGGTCAATAGGGGACATGGGCAACAGGGGAGATGGTCAACAGGGGACATGGACAACAGGGGAAATGGTCAATAGGGAACATGGTCAACAGGGACATGGTCAACCTCAAGCTGCTTTTACTTCACATGACTTTACTTAGTAGCCATTTTAGGCAGGGTCGACCTGAGAGCCAGTCATTTTATTTTTTTAATCCTGACTTGGTGTGGATTCGAAAAGCAAGCTTTAAAGACTTTGATCAGAATATTAATTTATGTATGGTTAGCCACTTGTTTAGCTTACCACGTATTTCACATTCACTAACTATAAACATAAACTATAATAATATCCTTCTATTTTCACAACACTGGAAATATAATTGTTTAGCAAAGGCACAGAACACATAAAAATGTACAATATACAAATGATAACAATCATCATTACATTCAGATGACACCATGTGTCTTTGGGTCACTGGTTTCTGTTGACTGCCTGATCGGTTCCCACCATTGTGTCAGTCAGATGCAAAAACTGCACATTTGAGGCCTGTCCAGTAAGCCAGGTTCTTTATCTGGCTAATGATTTGCAATGATCTTTATCTGGCTAATGATATGCAATGTTCTTTATCTGGCTAATGATATGCAATGTTCTTTATCTGGCTAATGATTTGCAATGATCATAACATAAATGTAAAACATCTGACAGTGTACACTCCAGTAGCACAAACATAGAAACTTACATCCTTATTCTTGTAGTAGAACAGATTGCAGCTCTTCAGCACACACCAGCGCTTATCCCAGTGTTTGGACAGAGTTCGATCCTTCTGCTTCCTCTTGTACAACCAGCCTTCACAATCTCCTTTGCCCAGATCTTTACATGAAACTCGTCGGTCTGCAACACCAACATGGGATCACAGAAGAACTTACATGAAACTCCGCGGTTTGCAACACCAACATGGGATCACAGAAGAACTTACATGAAACTCGGCGGTTTGCAACACCAACATGGGATCACAGAAGAACTTACATGAAACTCGGCGGTCTGCAATATCAACATGGGATCACAGAAGAATTTACATGAAACTCGGCGGTCTGCAATATCAACATGGGATCACAGAAGAATTTACATGAAACTCGTCGGTCTGCAACACCAACATGGGATCACAGAAGAATTTACATGAAACTCGTCGGTCTGCAACACCAACATGGGATCACAGAAAAGAATTACATGACAATTAAGAAGTCTGAAAATCAATGTCCTGACTCTCCCCTGAAATTCAACAAAGATACTTTCACTGAGATTCAATAAACACATTCTCTCATGGGAATCAGCAGATTCCAACCTTGGATTCAATAAAGACTCTCTCCTTGGAATCTACACTCATCTCCCCTGGGATCCAATAAACATATTCTCCGTTAAAATTTAATAACACTTAACCCAGGATTTAACAGACAGACTCTAACGACAGAATTTTTAAAAAGTGACTTAACCCAGGATTAAATAAACAGCCCCCCCTCCCCGCCCCCCATTTTTCTCTTCTCCCAACTAATTAGGGATTTGCTGAAATCTATATGTCCGGCCATGGATGAGAATCAAAAAGGTGCAATCAACATGTGAGTTTCAGGACCCATTTGGAAATGGGGAGTGGAGTAACAGACTGGACAACCTAGCTGCAACACAATGTGCCAACCAAACTTTTAAGGGAAACTGAAGAATACGATGAAAACAATGTAAGAGGCAATAAAGAAGAAGAAAGGTGTAGCTGCTTGTGTGCCACTATGTAGCCCGCTACATGAGTAACACACTATATGACATACCTCCACTCCTTCCCCCAAGAGCAGATAAATATTAGGCAGAGGACCCATTTCCACAGGAAACCTTTGCCATTTCGAAATCAATCCCAGAAACACAACATAATTATACTGAAACACCCTGATTATGAAGTAACCTGCAGCCCAACATGGCTGGGTGATATAACCACTGACACTGCTCATGTAGTGGGAGAGACAGAGCACTGCTCATAAATGTGACATCATTCAGTGACATCAACAAGCTGACATGACATTACTGATGTTGTCACAAATGAGATGACGGCACTTACCTAATTTAGTCTTTGACATTGTTGATTTGTTCCTCATTTTCACGGGTGGAGACTGTGGAGGAAATACAATTCAAAACACAATTATTTTTTAGCACTGATCACAATACTACTGCAAGAGAGCATATAATAGTAAAGTTAAGGCCTCGTGTTTTTTTTTTTTTTTTTTTTTTTGCGCCATGAAGTGGGTATATGGTGCTTTCCTCCTATTTGTTAAGATAATCTGGTCCACATGGTCAGTGGGAGTCGCCGTGGTGAAGCGGATAGACGCTCGCAGCGGATCGGAAGGTCGTGGGTTCACTCCCTGGCGGAGCCGGACTTTTTCATAAATGACCTTGGCTCCTAGGTTGACCCAGCCTTGAGTGGGTACCAGGTGCTGTCCCGGGAAGTAAAGGCAGCCGGCATGATGCTGACCACATCAAACATCTTGTGCCGATTGGTCTATATAAATATAAATCTAGCCCTATATGCCCTATACCCCTTAAGGCATGGAAAGGGTCCTTTACTTTACTTTTTTTATATGGTCAGTCCTATGCCAGCTATCTTCAATAAGAATGTAGTTGCACTTGTTGGAATCTTTCCAGATACTGTGGTTTAGGGAGGGATAGAAATCCCAGCCCATGGCGATGTCAATTAGAGCCAGGGATGGAAAGTTTCACCTCTCCATAGCTCAAAGTTTGGTCGGTGTTGTTATTGATCATGCAGTGAGAATTCTCCCTCGGCCTGCTTTGTTAATTACAAAGGAAAAGTAATACCAATACTACTGAAACTAAGCAAGCTGCAAAAACTGCCAGATCTGATGAGCAGTGCTCTGTCTCTCTACCTGCCGGAGATTCCTTCCTAGACCAGTTGCCAGTCAAGTAGCTTCACAGACCCTTCATGGTTTTATAGATAAATAATGAGAATACCCTAGACAGATAAAACAAGAGTAATGAAGACGTCTTGAAAGAATTGACTCACGAAATTAACTGACTGCCCACATCAGAAGGAGACAATCTAGATTCCTTGGTCATGCCATGAGAAGGAGACAATCTAGATTCCTTGGTCATGTCATGAGAAGGAGACAATCTAGATTCCTTGGTCATGTCATCAGAAGGAGACAATCTAGATTCCTTGGTCATGTCATCAGAAGGAGACAATCTAGATTCCTTGGTCATGTCATGAGAAGGAGACAATCTAGATTCTTTGGTCATGTCATGAGAAGGAGACAATCTAGATTCTTTGGTCATGTCATGAGAAGGAGACAATCTAGATTCCTTGGTCATGTCATGAGAAGGAGACAATCTAGATTCCTTGGTCATGTCATGAGAAGGAGACAATCTAGATTCTTTGGTCATGTCATGAGAAGGAGACAATATAGATTCCTTGGTCATGCCATGAGAAGGAGACAATCTAGATTCCTTGGTCATGTCATGAGAAGGAGACAATCTAGATTCCTTGGTCATGTCATGAGAAGGAGACAATCTAGATTCCTTGGTCATGTCATCAGAAGGAGACAATCTAGATTCCTTGGTCATGTCATGAGAAGGAGACAATCTAGATTCCTTGGTCATGTCATGAGAAGGAGAAAAGTGGTGTGCACTGTGATGGTGGAAGAGCTGGAGGGGAAAAAATGCAGAGGAAGACCAAGAGAGAAGATGCTGGGCAGTTTGACATTATGACATCAAAGATCATCTGTGTCAGAAGTGACTGAAAGTAGAAGAGAAAGGTGGTTGTGGAAAGACATGACTACCAATGCCACACAGCATGGACTATAAATAGGAAACATTCATAGAATGCAAAATAAATAAACAACAGTACTTGTAAAAAAAAAATTAACAACAACACTGATAGAAAGCAACATAAATGAGCTCCAATGGAAAAATAATCAAGGTGCTATGAGGGCAACTAATAAAGATATTCATCATCATCTGCTGGGAAAGACTGAACACCTATCGGTTTCATCAAAATGTAAGGAAACAGTGAGTAAAAACAAAGGGGCTTTTTCATGCCCTGGGTACATCAGATATAAAGTACTAGAGACCTACATTTGTACAGATCAATTTGTGCTCCAAGGGGGATGTGATCGACATCAAGATGGCTCCCTTTACTTTGAGCCAATATAAGTTTTGAAAACAAGTCTTTGTAGCACAACTGTGTTCTTCGTTGCACATGCTGATGTCACACCCAGGTTAGTCTTTAGTTTTGCTACAGGAGGAGTCGACTGGGAGATTATAGACGAGAAGAAAGATGGTCATGTCGATAGTGGTGGTGATGATGATGCTGTTTTGCTTGCTACATGCTTCTCACGTGGCTCTCATGCTTGTAAAATAAAATGGCTGGGAACAACTGTTCTTGTCTATACTGGCTTTATTGTGATACTTCAGCAATGACACAAATAATATTAATAATATTCTTAAAGGCACTATGTTCTCTCCATCGTTACGTACTCGTAGGTTCAGGCCGTGTTCTTCATCTCTAGTTACTTGGGTTCTAGTGTCTGCAAATGCCACCTGGCTTCTAGTGCTGTCTGGTACTAATGGCTTGATCGTCCACTTTAACATCTCAATAGTGTTCCTACCTAATGTGTCACTGTTGACCATGGATCCGTGTATCTTGTGTGTTGTCTCTGTAGCTTTATGATTTGTTTCAAGTCTGCTCTCTAGTGACTGTCTTCGAGGCTCCATATGACCGGCTGCTCTCCTTCTAGTGTTGAGTTGGCATCTCCACAACTGCGAGGATCATCGAGGCTAGTCCCTCGTCCTCTGAGTCTCAACAACAGAAGACATTCTTTGAGGATCAATATGACTGGTTCCCCCTCTCTTGAGTCTAGTGGACTGAAAAATTGCTCTGAAGGTCCATATTACTAGTCCCTCCACTTTCTAAGTCCTTTTTAGACTGAAAGCTGCTAAAGTGGATTCTTACCCATTATTTATACTTGGAAGCTGAAATGCTAGTTATTTGTTTTCTTCTCACTTTTTCTTCTTCTAGAATATTCTAGTATGTCTCAACTTGTTTACTACGTGCGTTCTCACGTGGGATTTTCTAAAAATATTTCAACTGCATCAGATTTCATCATCCTATTCTACGAAAATATAGTTGTTAAATTGACAGCTGACGTCAATAGAAGCTTCTAGAAAACAAGTACAATTGCGTTTGCTTTGATGAACACAAGGTGCAAGGTTGGGTCAATGAACAGAAACGCATTTCAAAGAAAAAGGTCAAGGCCAGACAACATCAGTTTAATGTCAATATAGAAAAAAAGATTAAACGGGAATGTCAGATACCAGACAAAACAAACAAGGGAAGAATGTCTCACTTGTTACACCAGAATAAAATAAGTAAAAAAGAGAAGCAACACAAATATTTCACAAAAGTCTGACATCCTTCATGGAGCATTTGAAATCCATCTCAAACGTCCACATTATGTATGTACCTCATTTGCAGAATTTCCTCGAGCTTTTTCTGTGGGTATTTTCTGAACAACTCCGGCAACCACAATGTGGGTGAAACTGCAGAAAAACAGACTCAACAATGTGAAAATAAATCAGATAACAAGAAGAAAAAAAAGACCTCAAAATACTGAAATAAAATAGGTAAAAAAGAACAAAATATTTCACAAAAGTAAGATAAAATACGTTTTAAAAAAAAGACCTGACAACATTCAAATAAAAGAAGCATTCAGTAAAAGATGTTCTCACACTTTGAAATGGATATGCAAATAGTGCTGCTAGTAATCTATACAATGCAGTGCTGGTAAGCATGGCACATGATGATGATAGGTTTCAAATATTAAACTTCCTAGGTGTGTGAGAAGTCACTATGACTGTTAGCAGCTTTCTGTCTTTCCACATGTTAGTCTTATATTAAGCTATAGGGAGGCACAGGGATCATAGCCCCTGGTGACGGCGGGTGTGACTAGCAAGACAAGCTCACATTCTTTCAAGAAGTTGTTTGCCATGGATGAAGCTCCTCCTCTTCATATTAAAGCCTGAGCAGTATTGCAGAGACCATGTGTTGCCCACGTAGCATCATTCCTCACTTGGATTGCCTTGTTTACTCCAAAGAAAGGTAACACCAGTATGTTTGGACATGCTGCAGAAGCTTCCAGATCAGAACAGCAGTGCTTCGTCTGTCTACCTTTTGAAGCACCCTCTCCCAATCAGCTGCCAACCAAGGCTAAGAGTCTGGTCTGCCATAATATTCAGTTGCCAGGTTGCATTTCCTCTTCCTTAGGTAAGGCTAGTATCCTCTACAAAATCAGCCAGTCAGTCAGTAGCATGTACATTGCAGAACCTTGCTCCCATAACAATCTTCTCAAAAACTTCTCGATCATAAGCAAGATGTCCCATGTCCGATACACCCATCTGGAGATCATCCGCCACATGCCGCACCCATCTTCTCTTTGGCCTTCCTTTTCTTCTCTTCCCAGGCATATACCCCTCCATTGTTGTTCTCTCTAAACTTTTGTGACTTTTAAAATGACCAAAATATTTCAATTTTCTGTGTTTTATCGACTTTAATAGCCAACCTTCTTCAATATTAAGTTCTTGAAGTATGGATGCATTTGTTCTTTTCTTTACCCATGATATTCTTAGAACCCGTCTATAACATTTGTATTCAAAGGCATTTATGCATTGTTCAGCTTGTTTAGTAAGTATCCAGGTCTCATAGGCGTATGGTGCAATAGGAAAGAGGCTTGCTCTTAGAAATCTCATTTTCTCAAATATGCCTTTCCAAATATCAGAAAGACAGCACTTAAATATTATTTCACCAATATTTTCATAGCAGCTGATAAATGGGCTATTTGTAACAACATTGTGCTATCAATGCCAGACAAGAGCAGTCATAGAAAACACAAAAACACAAACATTACAACATATGAGATATTTGAGAAATTCAGTGGGAAAAATAAGAAGAGACAGGGTCACAAATGAAAAACTAAGAATAATGTAAGCAAAATACCAGAACACAAAATAAATAGTTTGGTATCTGGTCTGAATAGAATAAAATCAGTGAGCATCTGGTACTATGAGAGAATAGCAGGCTACATGGCAAGAGGTCGACCAAGAAAGAGATGGGTGGAGGGTAAAAGAGAAACTACAGAAACCCAATATGACATTACCACAAGCTACAGTACTAGCAAAAGACAGGAAACTACACATTACTCTTTGTGACATTTTACAGCAAAAGCAGTAAATCAAAACACAGAAAAACCACATCTAACTCCTCTCTGTGATTCTTTACACCATAAGCACTAGAACAAAAGAATACTTTAACAGCATGCCATACTTCAATTCAAAAATTCACTATGTTCACTTACCTTTCCGCCTTCGGTGAATCCATGAGATCTTCAGAAAATCCAACCTTCTTCAGTGGCTTCACGAAAACTTCATCATCTCCCATCTTGGCTTCCTGATTACAGTACAAACTCCCCATAAGTATTTACAGCAAAATAGTACTGATAACTCAAACTAAATTCATTTACACTTTCAGCAATAATAATATGCACTTGTTTCTCATAACATGTACCAACCTAACTGGTTTATTTTTCCTCACATATTTTACTTGAACTTTTATAATATTTATCAATACTGATAAACAAGTACTAAGAATAATTTCTAACTGCTTGTATATAATTAAGCATTTTAAAATGCCTCTACTACAGCAAAATGTAGTCGCATTTCAATAGCAGCGCAACAGGCAAGTCAAACATCAGCTATATAATTTTCAAAAATCGTGGAAGCAATAACAGTAATTACACTGTTGAAGTCTGCACAGAGATGTAGCCAATGTTAAAGTGATAATTGCTGGCTTTCTTCAGCTGTGTCAGTTCTGTTCACATTTTCCTTCTAGTATTTTATCTTCTTGTCTAACAGATACACATATACAATGTATGACTTCCTCGGATCCAGCAATTTGCACGCTTATTTTTTGTAGACTTCTGCACAGGAAGAAGATGGTATGTGTGTTTACGTAAAAATTTTGGTGATGTGTGCACTGGTGTACACTTGCAGGCACATGTGTAGTGCAAAGGTGTACATTGCAAGTGTGTGTGGATATGACTGTGTATGCAGTGTCAGTGAGTGTGTGCGGTGTGTGTTTGTGTAATAGTAAGTAAGGTTACACCCACTAGCCACTATATCATCACTAATATGTTTCTCTTCCCCTCCCTCACACTTCTCTCTCCCTTCCCTCTCTCAGCCACCATACCACCACTATGTTTTGGTCCTCCTCCCTCAGACCTCTCTCCTCCCCCTCTCTTATTTCACTCCCTCCTCAAATATATCCCCCTCCCTCCCACCTATCTATCCCCCCCCCCCCAACTTAAGTCTCTCCATGACACACTTATGCCTCTCAGTCATACTCCCATCTCCCTACCCTTCTCAAGACAACATCAAAATCCACTAATTGTTCTCGCACTTCAAAATCACAGAATCCCCACATTATTTACTCGCTGCATCATGTGCAAATTAATTTGTATGTAAATGCACAGGGCAGACTAATTTTAATATGTATCTGGGAACACCAAATAAAGCAAATGATAATCTGAACGTAAACAGCAGGGCTATTTAACTGGTGGCTTACTGGCTGAATCTGGCCAGCAGAAGTCTAGCAAGTGGCCAATGGATCACTGCCAACTTTAGTGTATTAATGATCTTTCTATGCTGAGGCTCACGCCACCAACAAGTGACCGATCATCATTTTCAACATTTTGGCCCCCAGAGAAAACAGCCGAAGAGCCCTGGTATACAGCACAACCAGCAATAAACTACTACAAGTGGTGTGTGAAAACAAACAAAAGCCAAACATTTTGCTGTGTGCTAAAACAAAAAAACAGCCAAAAATTTTGCTGTGTGCTTAAACAAACAACAGCCAAACATATCGCTGTGTGCTAAAACAAACAGCCAAACATTTTGCAGTGTGCTTAAACAAACAACAGCCAAACATATCGCTGTGTGCTAAAACAAACAGCCAAACATTTTGCTGTGTGTTAAAACAAACAACAGCCAAACATTTTGCTGTGTGCTAAAACAAACAGCCAAACATTTAGCTGTGTGCTAAATGTTTGTCAGAGCTGTGAAAACAGCACATGACAGGTGACTAAAATGCATTAAATTCTGAAGCTCATGATGTAGATTTCCTGAGCCCAAGTTGAGGGACACAACTGCTCCCTAATTAGCAAGTTGTAAAAGGCAACTAAACAGGGTTTTGCGGGAATCAAATGTGTTGGGCCGAAACATGCAGATAATGCAGCCTAACTTTAAACCACAAAGCAATTTGCTTATCGCACTTTTAAGGCTGAAAAAAAAAAGCCCACACACATAGACAAAAAAAAAAAAAAAAATGAAGCTTCAACAAAATACTGGAGAATACAGATTAAAAAGGTATTACAAATTAAAAGAAAAACAGATTAAGCTAATTCAGTGGTAGAAATATTGAAAGCTTTCAGCACCACACAAGAATGCAAACTTGTAATGCTAAGCGCCTTACTGTAGGAACATGTATAAACTGGCACAGGACCAATTTCACAACCGTAAATAGCTTTTTTTAATAGTCATCACCATCATCATCATTTGCCATGATGAAATGTGTAGGCTTTCATGTTTCACTATCTCACATGATCATCAGAATCACAGATAAAGTTATTGCTTGTCTTATCTCATCAATATGGAATTTATTTGCCTTTCCTTTGCTTTCTTCCATCAATCTTATCAGTCATTGCCAAGTTCTCAAGTTCATTCCTACTGATAAAATATTAGAAAAACCACAGACTGTCTCCTTCTTCTTCTTTGCATTCATTGGCTGTGAAATTCAGGCAAAAATCCTGGCTGTTCGTTTATTTGGATTTTTGGCTTTGCACCAGGGTCTGAATTCTGCATGTACATCCATTTTACTGGCTTATTTGTGTGCAGTTCTTGCTCCCTGCCTCTCAAGAAGATGTACTCCGACTTTGAAGAAAGACATCAATCCAATCTCATGGATGACTGTAGTCATCGAGGGACATGATGGTGCCCTTATTTGTGTGGTGTCCTCTTTATCTCTTTATCTACAGGTGTTGCCCCTAGAGAACACATCTAGGGCAACTGCGTGTGGATGTTGGCCCTCGAAGAAAGGCAGGGCAGATCATGGGCATTCCGTGCCATCCAAGGAGGCTTCTATAAATGCAGAGCTGACATGTGGTGCTCTGGTCCTGGGCTCACCACAATGCATCTTCATGTCCTGCACATGACTGCTTAACCTCACAACCCTATGTTGGGTTTTCCACTCAACATAGGCTGCATGCGCCCTCCAGAGATCAGCAAGGAGCAGCCTGCAGGTCCAGGACTTCGGTGACCACACAAATAGGTACATTCTTCTTCATCACATCAGACACCTTTAACGTTGTTTCAACTGTACACTTAGTATGACAGTATGGAAAAGTATGCATCAGATATGGCTTCACCTGTTTGGTCACAATGATGAGGTCAAAGGTAATGGACATATAAACTTTTCTGCCAGTTTATAGAATTTTTGACAGTCGGACATTTAAGACTTTGCTTGTGTGCCACAGGAGATGTATTTACCAGACAATTGAGCCTAACCAGCAGACCCACAATGGTTGTCATGGTGTACCTTAATGCATTGATGACGACGTTTGGGGTCATCAAAGGATGTATGGAGACAGGATTTTACCATGAAAAACCGCCCACAGGAGATTTTGCTCACCAAGGCTGCGAGCAAATCTCTTGGTCTAGGGATGAGTCACAGCAGTTCCACGTTTCCTTCACTTGACAGCATTTTAACCAAGAACTGACATTTAGTGGTATATCTGGCTAGCAGGCTTTACTCATGTTCCAAATGAGTAACAGAACCAGCTCTGAGATCCCCTGCCAACTTCATTATTGCCCATTTGAGCAAATTATTCATGACGCATAACGAGGACGTGCAGCAGGCGTCTTTGCATGAAATTCTGAAAAACCAGCACGGAGAAGGCTGGCGCCCAAGGTGAAGTACGAAGTATCTCCTTACACACACCACACTGTACTTAACTTTCCCTTATGCCTGTGACAGAAACCGTGCCAGAAATCCGTGCCATTGACTATGTCTAATTTCTTCTAATCAGTTTACAACTTTTATCTGTCTTGAGTTGAGCTGAGTCAAGAATTGACATCACAGCATTCAGGGCATTCCCATGCGTGCTCCGTCCTCTCTCCAGCAGCCAGCGCATAATTCCAGTACTGATGGTACCGGTCACAACCTGGTTATATGTCCGTCTTGCCTTTCCTCTGAGTGTAGTGAGCCGGCCAGACCCTCTGGTTACACACAGGTGCCTCATTCTCTCCAGGCTATAATGATCTTGTTTCTCTACTTCTTCTTCTTCAGGCGTACCAGCTGACACTCTGGCGGAAAGTTCTGGTTGCTCGTCTACTGAACTGATTCTCGTGTTGCTCAGTTTTTACAGATTCATCTCAAAGGGCCTCTCCGGCACACACATCCCCAATTAGTCGACTTGTCATGTAGGCAGTGGGTCATTCTTGTTTTCACCAACCCACACGGTGGTTTGACTGACCGTTGCTTGTTTCCATATTGACCACATCTCCTATGTATCAATTCACCACCCAGGTTTTGAGGACTGCCTTATATATTTCTCTATCATTCCGTGATATTCTTTGTGTTGTTCTCAAAAACTACATACCGCTGCAAATAAATGTTTTTTGTCTTGTCTGCTTATTGTCCGGGTTTCACAAGGTGTCTCTAAATCACCCACAACTACAGAATTTCCAAGCGATGTTTCCTTTTTGTAAATATGAATACAGAAGACACAAACAATAGTAACTGTCACTGTAGTATGCACCTGACAAGATACGGCTTAATTTGCCAGGCAATAAATTGTGCAATCTATTGTTTGTGGCTTCTTTACTGAAAACTACAGAATAGTTTGTCTGCCTCTTCTGGTTACACTTGATTCAGGCATCTTTTCTCACACAATGGAGTCTTCTCTCATACGCTGGGGTCTTCTCTCCCACGCTGGGGTCTTCTCTCACACGCTGGGATCTTCCACTTCAAAACTACTAATATCTATGTCAGTTGACAAATGCCACTGAAAGGTTAACCTATTTGTTAGTTCAAAGTTATCCTGTGTGGTGGTTGAAAGTTGACCAGTTTGTTAGTTGAAGTTGACCTATATGTTAGCTGATATTTAACCTATTTGTTAACAAAAAGATGTTCTCCTAATGTTAACCTATTTGGTAGCTGAAAATCATTACATAAAATAACATGAATTGTGTTTCTAACACCTGCCTACCTTCAAGTTTAACAACAGCACACTTTCTATTTTTCATCAAAAAGCGAGAAAAACCAAAAAAGAGAAAGAGGGCAGAAAAGTTACCATGTCCGAGATTTGCTGAGAGTCAAGCCGTTTGATTCTCATCAACTGCGGCTGATCGCTGCGACCTGAATTACCTGCCACTTCTGTGTTTACGATCTACAGTAAAGAGCAGACACATAAAATAGCACTAGCAGACGTAAGCCAACATGGTACAACAATATAGAACAAACAAAATCATTTCAAACAATTACATTTATCTAAATAAAGCTCTAGCATTTACAAATGTCATAATTTGTATCAGTAAGATCATGTAATCATTTTATTTAGTACCCAGGACAAGTTGAGTTGAATCAAGAATTGACATCACAGCACTCGGGGCATTTCCATGCATGCTCCACCCTCATCTTCAGCAGCAAGCGCAGAGTTACAATACTCATGGTACCGTTCACAATCGAGATAAATGTTCGTCTTGCCTTTTCCCTGAGGGTAGTGAGCCGGGCCAGACCCTCTGGTTACACACGGGTGCCTAATTCTCTCCAGGCCATAATAATCTTCTTTTTCTGCTACCCAGGACAAATGAACTGGCAAGTAACTTTACTACATCATCATCATCATCCAATTGCAATATTACATGTCACAGAAGGATCACAGTCTAGTAATCCATCCTATTGTATCCTGGGCTATCCTCTCGTATCAATGGAAGTATGGATGGAATCCTATCCAGCGTCTAGGATTCTCTCAACAATGTTTACCTTGGGTTTCTCTTTGAGTGTCCTTATTTTCTTGATCCATTAGTTAAAAGTCTGCTACAGTAGCTACTTGAGTTGAGTCAGTTTACAGAACTGACACTACAGCACTCGGGATATCCCATAAGTGCTACATCCTCATCTTTAGCAGCCACCGAACAGTTCCAGATAGTAGTAGTTCCTATATTATATTTATTACATTTTTTTTTTTTTTGTTAAATTATTAATAATGAATATTAATATTTCGCAGGGGGCCACATGGTCTTGAGGCATGGCGTCCGGCTTGAGTGCTGGAGGTTCCGGATTCAGGCGCCGGTGACGGCTGGGACTTTTTCACGTGGACTTATAGTAATTTCCCCTGGTCTCTGGGTAGTAAGATCGGACGCCTGTGTGTATTGTTGCACACGCAAAAAAATTACTTGGCAGTTGAAAATCGAAAAAAGTAGCCTAACGGCGCTCCCTGGGCAAATATTTTGAGTTAAAAATCTACCCAAAGTATTTTTAGGATCCTCGCCGGTGCTACAGATTTCGCGCACTGTGCTGAGATTCTTCAAGCAAAGGCTCGAGTCAGAAGTAGAATAGAGCACTTATAGGTTACCCCTTGTGCCATGATGTTGATTTGTCATCTAAACCTAAACCATTTCCCCTTAATAGGTCAACAAATATTGATCTGTCACCATATCAATACACCACAATGGGGGTATAAAACTGAGGATTCTTAAACATTTTAACACACTAAACGCAGATACAACTGGCACCGCACAACATCAACACACACCAAAAGCAATTATAGCATGCTCAAATATGCTACTCGTCAAAAGTCAAAGGCGCCATGTAGAAAAACCTTGGTTGAAATCATAAAACAAATCTGAGATAAATACAATTTAAAGCAATGAAAATGGCATTTACTTAATACCAAAATGACATGTCACGTAAGGAGATAAAAACATATTCGAACGCAACAAAGCTGTGATGTTTTCCATTCACCTTTTCAAAAGTCACACAATAGATATTGGACAACTAGACATTTCAAAACTGGGTATGACCACCGTTTTCAGAAAGGCATTCAAGACATCAAAGACACATCGAGTCCACAAGAATCCAAAAAGTATCACGAGGAACAGCTTGCTATTCCTGAAGCAAACATGCAGTCAGATGTGCAGCATCCATTGGCAGGAGTGATTTGTTGACAATTTTTAACCAAGGACATCCCAGGGGTGCTCAGTCACAAAAAGGTCAGGTGAATGAGCTGACCCTGCTATCCTGATGATCCCATGTTGCTGATGCTGAATAAAGTTGTTCACCACATGAGCTCAATGGGGTTGAGCGTTATCATCATGGAGGATGGCACTGCCACATAAGGCCACCAGAAGCAGGTTGAACAGCTGGTCTCAAGATGTGGTTCTGGTATCTTCAGCCAGTCACGCTGACTTGGATGATGTAGCGTGAGGTTTTGTCATGTCTGTAGAAGATGCCCCAGACCATGACAGAACCCCTACCATAATGATCCACCTCTCGGATTGTGTCACAGTAAATCACTATCCTTGTCTCCAATCCCAAATCCTGCCATCATTGAATGAAACAGTTTAGTGAGATTCCTCAGTGAGTAGAACTTGACTCCACTGTTGCCTTGTCCACGGACGTGCACCCGTTACCAAGCAACAGGCATTCTGCGATGAGCAGGAGTAAGTGCGCGATTCTGACATGCTGGATATCGAGCAGCTAGTCCAAATTCAGGCATGCATCTGCAAACACTGATGTTTCATTTGTCTCTGCTGACATCTCAGAGTGGAATAAGTCACTGTTAGATTGCATAGAGCCGACAATAGGAGGTACCAGTCATCATAACTTTTGATTCATCTAGGGCGACCTGCCCGGTGGCGGTCCTCCATGCTTTCTGTGGCCTGAAATCTCTGCAAATTTCTTTGGATTGTAGTGTGTGACACTGCAAGCCGTCCAGCAACTTCAGGGATAAATAAATCACTTTCAACCCTTATTCTTTGTAGGGTATCAAGACTTTGTCTCGACGGCATGGTTTTTGTAAGTGAGGAAACACTAAGTCCGCTGATTGTTTAACAAATTTCTGCTGATTGTTTAACAAATTTCTGCTGATTGTTCAACAAATTTCTGCTGATTGTTTAACAAATTTCTGCTGATTGTTTAACACATTTCTGCTGATTGTTTAACACATTTCTGCTGATTGTTTAACAAATTTCTGCTGATTGTTTAACACATTTCTGCTGATTGTTCACCAAATTTCTGCTGATTGTTTAACACATTTCTGCTGATTGTTCAACAAATTTCTGCTGATTGTTCAACAAATTTCTGCTGATTGTTTAACAAATTTCTGCTGATTGTTTAACAAATTTCTGCTGATTGTTTAACAAATTTCTGCTGATTGTTTAACAAATTTCTGCTGATTGTTTAACAAACTAAGGATGAACTCTGTTCATGTGGAATGTCAATCAGCAATTACCTGTCTGGTCGTGCGGAAGTTCGGAAAAAAACAGATTCAGTTTATGGTCATCAAACCAAACTGCACGTGATCAGCATGGTTGTCGATGAGTTGTTTTCATGCTTCACATGCACCAAGGACTGTCATAGGAAGACATATTTTTTACTAAACAAAATTTCTTCATTTAATCAATCTAGGGGCTTATATAAAAGTGTACAGGACAAAACAGGATGACCCTTGACTTTTGATGAGTAGAATATGAAGCAATTAGGACAGTGCAGTTTAAACAACCAAAACATTTATTATATGAAATACTTTCCTCAAATTTGACATGGTTAGTAATATAACTGCTTCAGTTCCCTAAATATGAACTGATCATTTATATGTGACACGCTTCCCAAATTCTACCCGGTCCATAATATAACTGTTACATGTCGGCCAATTTTACGTGAACCATAATATGTTTCATAGTGCCTAAATTTGACCTGATCAGCAATTTAACTACTGCTTGCTGCCCAAAAACTGACCTGATTCATAACATACCTGCTGCATGTTCCCTAAATTTGACCTGATCATTAAGATAACTGCTTTAAGACTACAGACAGTCAACTGCTGAGTGTTTCACTGTCCCTTTCTAGTGACTATCAAAAGTACTGGAAAGACACAAACAATACTATTACGTACTTGTCCACACACGAAAAAATTTACCAACCATTACACGAATGAATAAATATATTAGAATGTTATGTTGAACAATTAAAGACTATAAGACTAGTAAGTTAGATAGCTGACAGACTATCCTTATGGCACACCAAATCATTCATTCCATAAGTGCTCAGATCCCCTCCTTAGTAAATCCTGCAGTGTGTAGCAACTCATGAAACCAGTCCTGTGTTGGTTTCTTATTTTTCTTTGGCTTCCTGCATAGTTCTGTTATCTGGCCACACCCCTTTCTTGCAGTCTGGTCATGGTTGCAGATTTACACTCATCACTTGGTTCTTGAAAAACATCTTACTTCTCACAGAACATTCAGAATATCAGCTCGGTTGATGGCTCATTCACCCTCCACAGCAGCTTTACCTGCAAGCCGATCAGATTGCTTATTTCCTTGCTGGCCTGCGTACCCTGGCACAAAAAGGAAACTGATATATTCTTCTTCAGTGATCTCTGGTCATGCGCATAATCTACTGTGGGTCATAAACTGGGATGTCTTTTCAAGGTCTCTTAGGTGTCCCCAAAGCTTAGTTGTCAGTTCTACTGGGTGTTGCCATTTGTCGCTCCGCAGCTCCGCCAGGAGAGGACAGTCTTGCAGGACATGTTCTGGAGTCTGTTCAGCACGAAGGCACTGGCAGAGAGCTGTTTGGCTCATACCTAATTTATGTGAGTGTTTATTGAGTCTGCAGTGTCCAGTGCGTAAGCGAAAAACTGTGACTTGGTCTGTTCTGTTCAAGTGTTTCAGAAAATCTTTTCCGTAGTTATAACCAGTGTTGGTTTTCCAAAACTGATATATGACAGCTGAGACCGCTTCAGAGACACCAACCACTGTCTTTGGATCCAGCCCTTCCCTATCTTCCTCACTGAGTCACTTACACCAGCGATTCTCAAACTTCGTGTCGCGGTGCCGGGGAAGCCGCAACCTCTTCACAGGGGCGCCACGAAATATTCTAGGATACATAAGTTTTTTTTTTTCTCTTACATACAAAAAGTCACACTTTTATTTGGGTTAGGGCACCGTGGATACATTTTTATTTATTAAACTTTCTTTGGGAAAATGTTTGGGAAAAACTGACTTACACTATTGTTGGCACAAACGATCAAATTAAGACACAAAATTTTTATTACAAACAATAAAATACTATGAGACTCTTTTGTTCAATAAACAATTAAATGTAAAAAAGTTTTTTTTTTTAAACAAACACTCACTCACCATCCTCCCTTTCCCCTCCTATTTTTTTTCAACCTAGCCAAAGATTTGTTTACAGCAGAAATCAAAAATGGACGGCACAAAGAGGAAATTCTACTGACCTTGACTATTAATATCTAAAACAAATTCAAAGAACTATTCACCCAGCACATTAATATCTAAAACAAACGGTCAAACAAGAGTTTTACCTTCCCAGCACATTAATATCTAAAACAAACAGTCAAACAAGAGTTTTACCTTCCCAGCAAATTATTATCTAAAACAAACAGTCAAACAATAGAGTTCTACCCACCCAGCACATTAATATATCAAACAAACAGCAAAATGAAATCCTACCTTCTGCTGTCTATTCCAGTTCTTTCCTGGTGACCCATCACTGACCTGGTGGGTGGGTTTCTCCACTGCTACTGTCTGCCTTTGATCATCCAACTCTGTGAACAACAATCACTTTCACAGAGGCCAATATTTAATGTGGGGTGTGAGCAAGAACAATAAATGAAACCCTAACTCCCTGTGTGGGTTCCGGCACCCCATTTGCAGGGAGGAGGAATGGACCAACTGCTGCACTGCAAACTATATCTTAAGAGGTTACTAGGTTTGTTCTTGAAAGTCACAGGTGTAACTGCTTGAGAGACAAGGAACCAAGCGTTTGCATTACAAATAAAGCCAGATTTGTCAAATGGAAGTACATGCAAAACGCAAGTTCTGAAACGACCAAAATCCAGAAGAGGATGAACAACCATAACTATCTTCCAGGGTTTACAGCAAGTGAAAACTCAGAAGAAAAATCCTGATCTTCCTGGTCTGTGATGACCGCACCAGCCACGCAGCCCTCAACCCTCAAGACCCCATGTTCTATGCTGCAATGTGGTAAATACAGACAGGCATGTAGAGAAATAACCTTAACTCTTTGAGTCCCAGGGGGTTTAGCATCACAGGCCCATGGGGTAGTAAAGAAAGTAATAAAATCGGCGCATCATGCGTTCACTGGGCTTTTAGGTAGGAAACTATAAACATATGATGCATTCCTTGGGACTCAAAGAGTTAAGAGAGCAAAAAGACTGCAGGTTCTGAGGTTTCTAAAGACAAGAAAGCCAAATTTCTGGGAATCAGTATAAACTGTATGAACAAATCAAGACAAGACGTCACTACACTAGGGACATTCAAACTGATGCTCCATCCCCTTTCTCAGTAGCCAAGGAAAAGTTTCTGCATTAATGGTGCCAGCTGAAACCTGATTAAAAATTCATCTTTTTAGCTTGCAGCCAAATATTATCCAAGCCCTCTGCTGAATAACTCTTTCCAGATATGAATGCCCCTTCTGTTTTGTTGCAGGGATGTTGGAAGATTTTTTGCATGATTCTTCTGAGCACTGATTTACACTGTCAGTAAGGAACAGACAAAGAATGAATGAATAAACTTTATTTGCAAAGGGTCAAAAATTGGGTAGGCTGGCCCATCTTACATTCGGCCCTATCAAACACCCATCTATACATCAGTTCTATTTTATCAGTCTGGTCTGGTAGTCTTAGTTTCAGCTTAATAGCAAACGGGTCACCTCATCTTTGCTCCGCTCCTGTGCCAACAAAAAACACACAGAATGTTTATCACCGTCTCTTGTGGAAAGACTGACAGACTGCTGTCTCAGCATATCTAAAATACACACATTAAAGTATACGGTAGCAATCCTTAGTGCTAACACAAACAGTCCGACATTAGAAATGCAGTTCATCACTTATGGTAGCAGAAGTCACCAACAGATCACCAATCAATTTTAATCGCATACTGGCACCACCAACATTGTGACTACAGGCATCACGCCATTTTCTGAATCTACAATTCACACCACCACGTTGGTCACAGTGGAAAAAACATTCCAAATGAAATCCGCAGCTCACAGTGTCACGCCATGCATTCAACTCAGAAGCTGCGCGAAGAAACTACATCCAGCCTACAAATGGAGCAAAAATGCATCAGCCACCATCCAGCAGAAGCAAAAAATTTGACTTGGCTCCAAACAGTGCCCTGCCTAGCGTCCATTTTATCAGTAAAGTATGTTGTGTTCATATAACAATATCATCATGTAGCAGGTCCTTTGCAGAACTACGCTCTCATCACAGTCTGCCTGAAAGAAACTGGGTCTCTTGCCAGTTCTCCCGCCTCATGCACTTTCACACTCAAGGAGTCACTTATATCCTGTGCCCATCTTCGTGTCGGTCGGCCTCTGCCCCTCCTTCCTGGTACCATGCCTTCTGCTATAATTTTTTCCAATCCGTCGTGGCGCTTGATATGACCAAAATATTTTAGCTTTCGAGAAAGGATGCTGTTTATTAGCCAGTTTTCCTTGATGTTCAGATCTTCTAAGATGTCAATATTGCTCATCTTCTTTGTCAAAGATATTCTGAGAATTTTTCTATAGCATTTCAGCCTCTATTCTCTTTCTTAAGGACTGAGAGATAGTCCACGATTCACAGGGAAGATGCATGCGCTCAAAATTCTAATTTTTTATTTCCTTGCTGGTGCTTAACAACACCAATACATTTAAAATATGCATAATAACATGCATATAACCATGGCCTTCTCCAGTCAGGCCGTACAACTGAATCACGGCACATTTTCGAGGAGTCCCCCTCGAAAATAGGTTATTGCAAGCGTTTCCATGTTGCATTTTGTGACATTATAATATGCTTACAAACTTCTGTGTTCTGATTGTTTTCATATTACAAAACGACAAGCGTATATTGTAAAATGGACATACAGGCTGTTAGATTACAGCAATTTTAATTGTAATTCACGGGAGACAGTCGTGTTGTGATGTGTGTGTCAGTGTCACTGTTTCTAGTCAGTAGTTCGGGTTTTTGGGAACTGGCTGTTTATTACTTTTCTACTTTAAATGTAGAAATCTTACTTTTAGGGATAATACAAACAGGTAATTAAGAAACCATATCTGGAGAATATCGACAGTTGTCAGGTGCAAACTATCTTGTGTTTGAAGAAAACTATTGCTTTCAAATTGACTGTGCATAAATAGTGCAACACACTGTGGATAAATTGTGTCAAGATATTTCGGAGCTCTAGATAAGTGGATGAAAATAATATTTCATTTACTAACTAACTTCTTACAGCAAGTCACTCTTTACTAATTGTTGACTAACAGTATAATTATATGTTTGTTAATTTTTGTAAACTGGCTTTTGCTTTGCTTCCCGAACACTGGCTGTAAACTCTTGCGGAAACTTCTGGTTGCTCATCCACTTCTTTTGCATATTTGCAGTTCTACGGTCTGTTAATTTTTGTAAACTGGCTTTTGTTTTGCTTCGCGAACACTGGCTGTAAACTCTTGCGGAAACTTCTGGTTGCTCAATGACTTCTTTTGCATATTTGCAGTTCTACGGCCTGTTAATTTTTGTAAACTGGCTTTTGCTTTGCTTCGCGAACAACTGGCTGTAAACTCTTGCGGAAACTTCTGGTTGTTCATCCACTTCCCTTGCATATTTGTTACAAAAAATTTGCAATCATAAGGAATTGATTTCATACAACAAGATGAAACTGGACAAATTTGTTTGTGCTGTTTGTACCTTGAGGATACATATTTATTAGTACTGTTAAGAAAACTATTCTGGGTGAAAAAAGTATTGCACATATCAATTTCATACTGATTGTCCCTGTTTACTAATTATTAAATAACAGTATAATTGTATGCTGTAGTAGTCTACTAATAATAATAATAACCATCAATCATTTATATTATGTATGACATGTGTATGTTTCATAGCAGTATTTTTATGCGCTAAATTTGATAAAGTACAAATGTCACCCCTCCCCTCCCCCTCTCGCTCCTCTGATGCATTAATACCCTCTCAGAATCAAAGAGTTATCACTGATATTTCTTTACTTTTGCTGGGACAACTTTTAATTTACATCTAAACGTTATTGATGTTTATGTACATGTTGACTGTAGCAAAAGCATTTTTGTTTGTCCGTAAGAGCCTTTGTTATAATTATTTGGCACACTTGTTTACCTTAAAAATGACGTATAGTTCTAAAAAATATGTCGAAAATAAATGAAACTGCAGTTTAATTTGTGTATACATCTCCTCGATAAAAACTGTGGACGCAGAGGGACTCAATTCTTGCCCAAGAACGGGAATCCCCGATGACCCAGTTGGCCTATTTATATCTAAAGATGGCCGTGCATATAACAATATGCATATTATAAATATCAAGAAAAAACACAAAACCATGGATGGTAAAATACATATGCATACAGGCATATGTATACACACACATACAGAGATACGTATCAAGAGCAAGAATGTGACAGACAAGTGGACTAGGAGACATAAAGCAGCTATTATATAGAATCTGCAACATTCTTCTTCTTCATGTTCATCTGGCCGTAAACTCCAACGGAAAGTGCTGGTTGTTCATCTACTCTAGGACTCTGGTTTCGTTCCAACACATCTATTTTACAGACCTGGCTTTTTTGTATGAAGACTTCTGGTTCATCACCTCTCAGGCAGATGCAGTCTGACTTTGAAGAAACACCATAAATTAGTCACCTTCTGTGACATGCTTGTTAGGCAGGTAGTGATCTATTCTTTTTGAGACCACAATAAGGGTACCCCAATGGGGAATTTGCATTCAATTCAAGTGATATTACCTTGGTGGTTCTCACTGGTAGAGACCTCTGGTGGTGACTGTGGATCCTCTACTGGAGTTGCGTCATCAAGTACCTCTGCCACCTCAGAATCCTCACAGGCAGCATCTGCTCAGAATATATTATGAAAGGATCGATACAAACGAGAAACAGAACCAGTCACCTTCACAATATCACTATCATGAATGACAGAATGAACGTGGCGGTAATAAAACGTTTATCAACATATAATAAAAATGGACAATGATAGTTACAAATGAAGAATACATAAAATAAACATACCTAAACCCATATCTTTCTGTGTCTTGTTGAGTTGAGTTAAGAATTGACAACACAGCACTCGGGGCATTCCCATATGCGCTCAGTCCCCATCCATAGCAGCCAGCGCAGAGTTCCAATACTAATGGTACTGGTTGTAATCTGGCTGTATGACCGTCTTGCCTTTCCTCTGAGCGCAGTGTGCCGGCCGAACCCTCTGGTCACACCCAAGTGTATCATTCTCTCTAACCCATAATAATACACTTTCTTGATCCACATCTCTGTGTGTCCTCTTTGTCTCTTGATCCACATCTCTGTGTGTCCTCTTTGTCTCTTGATCCACATCTCTGTGTGTCCTCTTTGTCTCTTGATCCACATCTCTGTGTGTCCTCTTTGTCTCTTGATCCACATCTCTGTGTGTCCTCTTTGTCTCTTGATCCATATCTCTGTGTGTCCTCTTTGTCTCTTGATCCACATCTCTGTGTGTCCTCTTTGTCTCTTGATCCACATCTCTGTGTGTCCTCTTTGTCTCTTGATCCACATCTCTGTGTGTCCTCTTTGTCTCTTGATCCACATCTCTGTGTGTCCTCTTTGTCTCTTGATCCACATCTCTGTGTGTCCTCTTTGTCTCTTGATCCACATCTCTGTGTGTCTCTCTTTGTCTCTTGATCCACATCTCTGTGTGTCCTCTTTGTCTCTTGATCCACATCTCTGTGTGTCCTCTTTGTCTCTTGATCCACATCTCTGTGTGTCCTCTTTGTCTCTTGATCCACATCTCTGTGTGTCCTCTTTGTCTCTTGATCCACATCTCTGTGTGTCCTCTTTGTCTCTTGATCCACATCTCTGTGTGTCCTCTTTGTCTCTTGATCCACATCTCTGTGTGTCCTCTTTGTCTCTTGATCCACATCTCTGTGTGTCCTCTTTGTCTCTTGATCCACATCTCTGTGTGTCCTCTTTGTCTCTTGATCCACATCTCTGTGTGTCCTCTTTGTCTCTTGATCCACATCTCTGTGTGTCCTCTTTGTCTCTTGATCCACATCTCTGTGTGTCCTCTTTGTCTCTTGAACCACATCTCTGTGTGTCCTCTTTGTCTCTTGATCCACATCTCTGTGTGTCCTCTTTGTCTCTTGATCCACATCTCTGTGTGTCCTCTTTTTCTCTTGATCCACATCTCTGTGTGTCCTCTTTTTCTCTTGATCCACATCTCTGTGTGTCCTCTTTGTCTCTTGATCCACATCTCTGTGTGTCCCCTTTGTCTCTTGATCCATATCTCTGTGTGTCCTCTTTGTCTCTTGATCCACATCTCTGTGTGTCCCCTTTGTCTCTTGATCCATATCTCTGTGTGTCCTCTTTGTCTCTTGATCCATATCTCTGTGTGTCCTCTTTGTCTCTTGATCCACATCTCTGTGTCCTCTTTTTCTCTTGATCCACATCTCTGTGTGTCCTCTTTGTCTCTTGATCCATATCTCTCTGTGTCCTCTTTTTCTCTTGATCCACATCTCTGTGTGTCCTCTTTGTCTCTTGATCCATATCTCTGTGTGACTTTTTTGTCTCTTGATCCATATCTCTGTGTGTCCTCTTTGTCTCTTGATCCATATCTCTATGTGTCCTCTTTGTCTCTTGATCCATATCTCTGTGTGACCTCTTTGTCTCTTGATCCATATCTCTGTGTGTCCTCTTTGTCTCTTAATCCACATCTCTGTGTCCTCTTTTTCTCTTGATCCATATCTCTGTGTGTCCTCTTGATCCACATCTCTGTGTGTCCTCTTTGTCTCTTGATCCACATCTCTGTGTGTCCTCTTTTTCTCTTGATCCACATCTCTGTGTGTCCTCTTGATCCACATCTCTGTGTGTCCTCTTTTTCTCTTGATCCACATCTCTGTGTGTCCTCTTTTTCTCTTGATCAGCATCTGTGTGTGTCCTCTTGTCTCTTGATCCACATCTGTGTCCAACTGATCCACATCTCTTGTGTGTCCTCTTTGTCCTCTTGATCACATCTCTGTGTGTCCTCTCTTGATCCACTCTCTGTGTGTCCTTTTATCTCTTGATCCACATCTCTGTGTGTCCTCTTTTTCTCTTGATCCACATCTCTGTGTGTCCTCTTTTTCTCTTGATCCACATCTCTGTGTGTCCTTTTTTTCTCTTCATCCACATCTCTGTGTGTCTTTTTTTTCTCTTGATCCACATCTCTGTGTGTCCTTTTTTTCTCTTCATCCACATCTCTGTGTGTCTTTTTTTTCTCTTCATCCACATCTCTGTGTGTCCTTTTTTTCTCTTCATCCACATCTCTGTGTGTCCTCTTTGTCTCTTGATCCACATCTCTGTGTGTCCTTTTTTTCTCTTCATCCACATCTCTGTGTGTCCTCTTTGTCCCTTCATCCACATCTCTGTGTGTCCTCTGTCTCTTGATCCTTATCTCTGTGTGTCCTCTTTTTCTCTTGATCCTTATCTCTGTGTGTCCTCTTTTTCTCTTGATCCGCATCTGTGTGTGTGTCCTCTTTGTCTCTTAATCTGCATCTCTGTGTGTCCTCTTTGTCTCTTGATCCACATCTCTGTATGTCCTCTTTGTCTCTTAATCTGCATCTCTGTGTGTCCTCTTTGTCTCTTGATCTGCATCTCTGTGTGTCCTCTTTGTCTCTTAATCTGCATCTCTGTGTGTCCTCTTTGTCTCCTGATCTGCATCTCTGTGTGTCCTCTTTGTCTCTTGATCCACATATCTGTGTGACCTCTGTCTCTTGATCAACATTTCTGTGTGTCCTCCTTGCCTCTAAGCTTCTTGATCCAACACACCTCTGTGTTTTCCTTGGAATTCACTATGAATTGTAACTGCAGCTAAAGAGTTTGTGGTTTGTGCAATGCGATTGGAGAGCGGCTCTTCTGTGAAAAAAGACTGGGTCAAATAAGGTAAAAACCTGGTGCAATGAAGTCAATCCTCACAACTGTTAACTTCAACACAGTTCAACTTCTGTTATAGGGACATAAAATAGGCTTTGAAAAACTGACAAAGGCTGGCTACACAACACAGTGATTTGCATTGTTAGACAGGATTCAGGACAATATCATGAATACTGTGCTCAAGACAAATGGTTGGAGGAGGACAGAGCAAAACGAACTACTCTATGCTGCTGCTCCTTTGGGCAGGGATCTATTTTAAGATAAGGAGTGCATGGTCAAAGCTTTCTGCAGGTAGGTGTATGGACAGTAGAACACGGACAGAACACCTATATCTAATGAGACCGACTAGGAAGTGAGCAGACAATCCAGACAGGTGTTTCCCATTTAAGGAGTTCCTGATATCATTTATTAAAAAAAAAAAATATTAATACTTAATTTTGCAATGCAATCCTTCATGAGATTCTAATATTTATGAATTATAATAAGGTTTGCCTCCACGGTAAGCTGCCAAGGTGTAGTGGCTAGACTCTGGCTTGCCGATATGAAGGACGTGGGTTCAAATTCGCACCGTGCTGGATTTTTTCCGATGCTCCCAGGTTAACCAAGCTTAAATGTGTACCATGTGAAGCCCTGGAAAGTAAAGGCAGTCGGTGTAATTTTGACCCACATCACCCATCGAGGGTCAACTGGTCTATAAAAAGATGAGTCTCGTGTGCCTGAATGTGCCACTGGCAGGTAAAGGGACCTTTACTTTTTTTTTTCAAAACCAGGTCCATGTCAGACTAGTGAAAATAAGAGGATGCCCGCAGGTCTTAGCTAGTTGGGAACCACTGATTTAGACAATACTCGGCAGATGGAAAAGACAGGTGGACTTGCAAGCAGGTTCACAAAGTTACCAGCAACATGAGAGCTCTTCCCTGGCTACAGAAGTGGCTGAAGCATTTCCTTGCCAACAGACTCTCACTCCATTCCCAGTTACATATAAGTAAATGAGTTTCATGCTTTACTTACCCGGCTCTGTTTGTTTCTCAATTATCTCCTCCTGCTTTGATGAGCTAGGATCCACACCTGGGACTTTCTCAGATACCTGACTGCTACTGCTGCTGCTGCTGCCCTCTTCTGACTTACTCTGAAGTCTTTTTTTCTCTGTCAAGAAATAATTTTTTTGGTTCTGTTCAGTTGAGCATCCTCATATTTCAAACGTTAAGATACACTCATTTTATCTTAGAGACACATTACTTAGAAACTATTTAGATAAACAAGAAGTTCACATAGCAACTGAACAGAATGTGTGAAAGTTTAAAATGTAATGGAATTCAAAAGTAAAAGCTCCCATGTGGGTTCTGGAGACCCATTTTTGGGGGAAAAGGGATTAGACCCACTTCCCCTAACTATATTGTCATAAAAGGTGAGTGATTAGAAGTTTACACAGAAGAAGAAAAAGGAAGAAGTAAAAGCAATTTAACAGATGATAGAAAGAGAATCTCATTTTTAGTGAAAGTAAAGTCCAAGTAATCAATAAAACTATGATGGTGTATTTTCTTTTCTTTTTTTAAAATTAGTTGTGTATCCTTTAGAGGCTACTGCATACCAACCACAGTGCTTTTAGCTGCTTATGATTTTAATTGGTACTTGTACATTCAGTAGTTTGCCACTGCTTTATGACTGGTCGGCTCTGACACCACTGTTAAAATCAACGCTTTGATTCCAATTTGCCCGCGGGTGGCATCAAACTTGGTATCTTGGAATTATCATTTCTTTCAGGCCCCTGAATCTTGACAGACTTGGCCCACATTAACTTTCCCTTTACAAAAATGGCAGAGGGGGTGGTGTACAAAAAATGGAATAGAGAATGTAATATACTTCTAATCCCTACAAAAGTAAATATTTTTTAAAGAGAAATGAATGTAAATTTTGAATATGATGATAAGTATATGTTGAATATTGTTATAGTTAGTAGGAAAGAAGAATTTAGCAGGTGTTAATTTCACAACAACATAATATGGTTTTGCAGCCACAAGAGCGGTGAATATCCAAATTTCCTAACAAACTGCAAAATCATGATAAGTTTCTGGCTTAGTTTGGCACTCAGAGGCTCTTAGTTCTCACACAGTGCTAAGCAAAATTTTAGAACAAATGGCAAAAAAATGGATGATGGTGTTATAATACAGAGAGGTACAAGAACGTCAACCAATTAATGCACAGTATAATCCCCAACTCTTCCGCCCGAAGCTGTTGCTACAATGTTGAATTGAATTGAACTTAGAAAACAAAAATTACAAAACTCCTCGACTCTTTCAGTCTGCTCCTGATTGAGCGGTGACTATATCGAGTCCTTGTTTATGTGCTGACTCTAGGTCGTTTTGTTGTTTGTAGGCTTTTGGTTGTGCCTTGATTACCGATCTTGCTATTTGTCCTTTCCTTTTTGCCTGAGTGAGCTGTTACGCACTCTGTCCGTGATTGTTCCTTGGCTGTTTCCTTGTACACCACATCGAAATCGATAAGCTTGTCACTGAGTTCACCAACAAGGCTCCTTTTCAGGGCCCCACTTAAAATCTTTTTTGTGCTTTTTATTTTTTGCATCTTACATGTGTAAGTGCGTTAAGCGTTTTTTTTTTTTTTTTGGCCTTCATTTTTTTGGTTTGGTTTTGATTTTATTTTTTTTTTTTTTTATTTTTTTTTTTTTTTTTAAATTTTTTTATCCAGTTTTATTCTGGCCACACATGGTATAGAAGTAGTGGGGATGTAACACAGTTTATGCAAAAAAAATTAAGAGAAAATTGAAAGCTTGAAAAGCTGAGTAGGATATAAAGCAAGGTCGAAGGAGAGAGGGAGATAGATAGCTTGCTAGGTGAGGGGAGGTTGCTGTCGGGTTTGATGGCTGCGTCCGTTTGGCTGATCGCTGGTTGGTTGTTTCCTCCAGGTCGTGGCGATTCATTCTAGGATGGGGTTGCAGATTGAGAAATGGCTATGCGGTTGTCGACTATCGTGCGGTTCCCCCCTGTAGTTCTGCTAATGAACTTTTTGACGAGCGCTTCCAGGGCTTTGTCGCTCGTGGTGTGCAGCCATTCTGTGATCGATACTTTCTTTTTGTGTGTCGCACAGTAGTCAAGGATCGGTTTACGGGAGATATCATGCTTTTTGCAATCCAGCATGTAGTGGCCTATTGAGTTACGGCACCTGCAGGTAGGGCACGTTGGGTTTTTGTAAACATCGCCCAGTGTCCCAGCCTCAGATTCCAGAGTTTGTTGACGGACGGGATTTTCGTTTGTTTCTTTTATCTGAGGCTGGGGCCTTGGTTTCCTAAGAAGATTGAATGCATGTCTTCCCTGCTTGCAGTTATGCCACTGGACTTCCCAGGCTTTCAACAGAAGTTGTTTAGTGGCTGCGCGGCCTTCGGATTTGCTCAGTCCTATGTTTAGTGCATCGGCGCTGTTAATGCCTTGTTTGGCAGCTAGATCGGCCGCTTCGTTTCCAGGCTTACTCCTTTGTGGGCTGGAATCCATGCATATTGTTAGTTTCACATCCTTTGTTTTTTAGCTCCGTTGCTGCCGCAAGTATCTCTTCTTTGACGTCTTGTCTAGAGCCTCTGCTGAGGTCTTTGATAGCTAGTACTGCGGCCAGTGAGTCTGTGAGGATGTGAACTCTGGCCGGGGGGTTGGCTAGGGCGAGGCCGATTGCTACTTTGATGCCGAATAAGTTTCGGCTGTGCAGATTGAGGTCCCGTTCAGTGAGGTTGAAGCTTTGCGTCACACCGAGCTGTGGGGCGAAGATGCCTACCCCGACTTTCCCCCTCCTCATTTTTAGAGCCGTCGGAGTAAATCTTGACGCTATCAGTCGCGAGGTGTTCTAGATACTCTTCTGCTATTTTTTTGGCTTCTGCCCTGACGGTCTGATTGGTGATTAGTTTAGTTAGGGAGGTGTCGGTTGCCGGTGGGGACAGTTCCCATGAGGGGAAGGTTGCTTGGATTTTGATGGTGTCCTTGAAGGCCCGGTCTACACCGCTTCCTTCCACCGTTCTCGCTAGGAGCCAGGCTACCGGTTCCTGGAACCAAGGAGTTTTGCCGCTCCCATAGTGGTGAAGGTTGGGGAGGAAAGCGTCCCTGGCTGGGTGTTCCGGGTCGGCGTTGGCCTGCATCCAGTAGTTGATGGCCAGTTGTCTGCGCCTGAGATTAAGGGGCGTCACTCCGAGTGCAACTTCCATTGCGGCTCTGCTGGTGCCAGGGCCAGTTCCTATGATGGTAGCTAGGGCTTGCCTTTGGATGCTATCGAGGCTATTTTTGATGTTGTCGGCTGCTGAATCGTACACGATGGAGCCGTATTCCAATCTGCCTCTGATGAATGCCATGTAAAATTGAAGCATTGTTTTGGTGTGGGCGCCCCATCCGCTGCCTTTTATGATTTTTAGCATGTTATTGAGCGGCTTGGACCGCTCCACCGTGTACTTTATGTGCCTATTCCAGCAGAGTTGCTCGTCTAGCTCCATCCCTAGGAACCTGGTGTGTATCTTTCTCTGGATCTGCCTGCCTCCCATTTCTAGCCTGATCGACCCTTCTTCGTATCGCTGCATGGTTTTTTTGTTGAAGATCATGAGGGCTGATTTGTCGGTGTTGACCCTGAACCCCCATTCGTTCATCCAGCGCATTACGTTGTTAAGTTCTGGCTGGAGACTGTTTCTTACTTGAGTGATCTCGCTCCCGGTCATCCACAGAGCGCAGTCATCAGCGAATTGTGACAGCTTGACTCTTTTATCTGTGATCGCTCTGTGGAGGTCGTTTACCAGTAAATTGAACAAAGTCGGAGAGATTACGGCCCCTTGTGGAATGCCGTTTTCCTGCACTAGGGTGTCTGATTCTTCGTTTCGTATCTGGACTGCGAAAGTTCTTTCAGAGAGGAAGCTTGAGATGTAGTTCAAGATTTTTCCTGTGAGCCCTAGCCTCTTGATCTTAATGATGGCTCCTTCGCGCCAGCACTGGTCGAACGCCTGGGCGAGGTCTAGGAAAGCGGCCATCGTTTTGTCTCCCTTCTTGAACCCGATTTTGGTGTCGTTTTCCAGCCTTATGATTTGGTCCAAGGTTGACCTGTTGGACCTGAATCCTGACTGGGTGGGGCTGTAGAGTTTCTCTCGGTTCAAAAAGAAGATGAGACGTTTATTGATGACAGTCTCTAAGACCTTTCCCAGGTGGGAGGTGAGGGCAATCGGTCTGTACGATTCTGTGTTTTGCGGATCTTTGCTAGGTTTGAGAATCGGGATTACCAGAGCTTTTTTCCATTGAGTAGGTATCCGTCCCCTGCTCCATATTATGTTAAATAAATTTGTGATGGATTGAATTCCGTTAGCTGGGAGCATTTTTAGGATGGAGTAATTGAGAATGTCGCCTCCCGCTGCTGAACTCGCCTTTTCCTTTATCGCGGTGGCTACTTCGTCCACTGTGATGTCGGAGTTTAGGGGCAGAAAGTCGCTTGGGGATTGAACCGGTCGTCCTCTTTCTTCTTCAAAGTATCGGTATCGCCTGTCGATCTCCTGTGCGCCCAAGCGCTGGTTTGAACTGACATCGAAAAAGTGGCGACCAAAGGTGTCGGCTTTTTCTTTGTCGGAGGTGGCTAGGGTTGGGATTTTTAATGTCGGTATTTTTGTATGTTTTTGATCCCCTTTTATCGCTTTTATCTGTTTCCAGACTTTCGTGGGAGCTGTGCTGGGATTTAGCGATTGGCAGAATAGTTTCCACTGGCATGTTTTGGCTTTTTTTATTATCCTACTGGTTTCATTTCTAATATTTTTGAAGTTTTGCAGGTTTATTTCGTTTCGGCGTCTCTGCGGTATTGCGCAGCGCTGTCTGTCTTGCGTGGACCGCAGCTTCACAGTTTTCATTCCACCAGGCCATCGTTTTTTTGTTATTACGTTTAGGGGCGAGATTGTCTCTATGCCTATTATATATAAGGTGGTCGGGCATGTTCTTATTTGGGATATGCTTGATAGCCACCTTCAGGATAGCGGTAGTGAGGTTTTCGGCGCTTTGGTCTATGTCGTCCTCTCGAAAATAGTATTAAGATCGGTGGATGAGATTTCGTTGCGAAATGCGGCCCAGTTCGCCTTTTTGATGTTGAAGTATGGACGCTTAATTTCTTCTACCAACTGTGGGCGCGTTCTCGTACTAATCTTGATTGGCAGGTGATCGCTGCTGCTGTCGGACATAACTGACCAATGGCAGCCCGCTAGCCTCGCCGTGGCTATCGATAGGTCTATTGCTGTGTCTCGCGTTTTGAGGCTGGGGCTTATCCTAGTGGCGGAGCCGTCGTTGAGAACAGTTAGAGAGTTGTCTTCAATAAACTGCATTAGGTTATTGCCTCCTCTGTCTGCTGATTGCTATCCCCACGTTTGATGATGCACGTTCAGGTCTCCGAGAAGTAACGTGTTTTCTGTGAGGAGGCTTTTGATTGTGTTGAGGTCTGTTGCCTCGATTTTCCCTGCTGGGCTATATACATTAATGATAGTTAGGTCGTGGTTGTGGCCGGCGATCCTGATCAGCATTCCTTCCAAATTTTGGGTGTTAAATCCAGTGTGAGATATGACTTTTATTTGGTTGCTGACCAAGGTCGCTACCCCGCCACTCCTCGTATTCGATTTTCTATCGTTTCTGTATGTGTCGAAACCCGGTCGCGTGAATCTATCTCCTGCTTTCAGCCTGGTTTTCTGCAAGGCATAGACTGTTGTCTCCTCCCATGTTTGTTGGAATATATCTGGGAGGTTTCTTCTGACGCCGTTGCAGTTCCACTGCAGAATATTAATATTGGCATTCTCCATTTTTAAAAGAAATAAACGCTGTGCTACCACTGTTTTCTTTTTAAGCTTCTTGGCTCGTTTCTATTGTGTCTGAGTCGGGTTCTGAATCAGACAATGAGGATTCGTTATCTATCGTACTGGAGTCCGAGGAGTCAGAGTCAGGCAGCTTGCCTTCTATCTTCTCCAGCCTGCTGATAATGGATCCTATAGTCTCCTCAGTGATATTGTTAGCGGTTTCATTGAGGCGGTCGCAGACAGGTGGCTCGATCAGGACATTTTGGTTTTCGGCGGGTTGATTTTTGACCGTGTTTTGGGTCGCTGCCTTTAAGAGTTTGATTTCCTCATCGAGGGTTTGCTGCCTTCTCACTAAATTGTCGATCATACCGCGTAAGTCTAGTATTTCTTGGGACATTTGTTTTTCTCTTTGTGCACTCTGATTCATTTCTGAGTTCAGCTTTTCCTCTAGTTTTTCTATCGCCTCAGCCGATCCGCCTAGGTCGCCGTTTGTTGGTTTTGGGGTGACTGGGGTGGGTTGGCTGGTCGGTAGACTTGCCGCAAGTTTCTCTAAGGTTTTCTGCGTCCTTCTAACTTCGGATGCTAGTTCTGTGGGCGACTTTTGCTGGGAACGGAAGAATTTGACGGCTTTAAGAGAGGTTTTGGTTAGGATGGCTTCCTTCCAAGCTATTTGTTCTTCCTTTCGTCGTCGGCAGCCTAGGTACTTGGCACTGTGACTTTCGCCGCAGTTTGCGCACTTTCGATCAGCGTTATAGGTTTTGTAGTCGGTGACTGATTTCGCCTTCGCGCATTCTCGTATCCAGTGTGAGGCGGAACAAAAAGCGCACACTGGTGGTCGTTTACAGTTTTCTTTAGAATGGCCGAAAGCCTGGCACCGCCCACACTGAATGAGGGGCGGGATGAATGGTTCACAGAGTTTTGACCTGGCTTTGTAGGTGATATGAGGGGGTGAATCCTTCCCTGCGATAGTCAGTTTGATGACCTGGGTGGGATGGCCGTTTTTCTTTAGCACACGGGAAGCGTGGGTTATTTCGAGTTGCGGGTTTTCGTTTCTAAGAGATTCGGTAATTTGTGGGATTTCGACCGAAATGTTTATCCCCTTTATCACAACTTTGGACTGTGGTTTAAATTTAGCTATTTTTATTTCGATGCCGTGGTCCAGTTGCAAGAACTTTTCTTCCCCTTTTTCGATCTCATTGATTAGCTCGATCGTTTGTTCGGTTCTACTCAGGATCACGGTTAGTAGATTTGTCTCTTTTTGTAGGCGGAGGTGAACTACAGAGTGGTTCTCTAGCTTGTTGTTTAGAATCTCTTTGGCTTTGGCGTTGTCCTCTATCGCGATTTTTACTAGCGAATTTACTGGGCACTTCACCTCTGTGATTATTAGTTTCGTGTTAAGTGTTCTCTTAGCATTTGGACGGAGTCCTGTCAGGTTGGCCGAGGAGGCGGTCGGGGGGATTGTGGGTGGCACGTTTACTTCCCTTTCTCCTTGGGGTTTGGCCGTTCCCTCCGTGACTGCTGTGGCATAAGACTTGGCTGACTTGCCTGGCGAGAGCGCCGGCTGAGCCTCGACCGTAGTCAGCGGCTGGATGGGTGACGCGGGCGCGGATTTCTTTTTGGCTTGAGTCGGTTTGGCAAGAGGGCTTACTTCTGGCTCTTGGTCCGCTATTGCCTGTAGAACCGGTTTTTTGAGGGAACCCCGAGGCGCCGTCGCTTTTGGTGCACTGTTTTGATTTTTCCCTGTTGGGTTTTTAATTGTAGAGTTCGTCTCCTGAGAGCTGGCTCTGGTAGATCTCCGCATGGTAATCGGCGGTGATTTTGACATTTTTAGAGTGGCTAAGCCCTAGTTGAAAGTTTTAATCGTAGATTATACTCACACACTCTTGGCTTGCTGTCGTCTTGGATGATGTGTCGTCTCGAATGGTAACAATGTTTTCGCAAGAGCTTGTCCTCTGCCGGGCAACAGGCCTGGTTAGGAAGTCCTCTAGGCAAGAAGGATTTCCCAGGGTGTTCCCAACAGTACACAAGGCTAATGCTAAGTCTTGCGAGGCAACGAACTCTCGCTTGACTTGGTGGTCTTGTGACTAGGTAGCGAGTGCTGGCAGATCAAGCCGATTGACAAGCGATCAACCAGTCTTCTCGTTTCCCTAGCACGTACCTGATATGCGGACTGATATGCGGACTGAGTGAGGCAAAAACTCCCACTTTTTCGGACCGAAACGATTGACTTTTAGTCAGCGTAACGACTTGTGATTTGAACCACTACAGTTTTCAGGTCTAGCAGATCTAGCCGAGCGGAGCAGCGATCAATACTAGTCCCTGAGGTAACCTGTGATTCTCCTCTCAAGCGCACGCTGAACTAAATTTCGAGGCAACGAACCCACTCGAACATAAGACACCCACGAGGCAACTGACTCTCTCGCTGTCTTCCGTCGTCAAGTTGTTGTCGTCTGGATATTAGGCCTTTATATACTGCCGCTCCCTCCCCCACATCAGATTACCCACATACACACATGGAAAGAGAGAGAGACAGAGATAGAGAGTGAGAGAGAAGATAGAGGACAATGAATACAAATATTATTCCATAAGTCAACCATCAACAACTAACATTGTGAATTACCTCTGTTCTCAAAAACTTTCCTCTGAAGAGAACTGTCTGCTGAACGAACTGAAGTCGCAGCAGCCTCTTTCTCCAAGACGTTGATGGCCTGAGATTTGGGCCGCAGTGGAGCTGGATCCAGATCCTCCACCACCAGAGATGGGCGCTCAAATGTGGGGGAGCCCCCGCTGACTGTTGCACGCCGCTGTTTGGCATCTACGATCACTGGTAGAGTGAACTGTGGTGACTCAGATCCGCTTCGGAAGACATCATTGTCTGTGTCATTCCCATCAATGTTGTCTTCAGGAGATTCTCTGTAAACAGATCAATGTTGGAGTTGGCAGTTCCCGTCTTCCCAGATGATAGTGTTCTATCGTGCTATAGGAAGCAATGGTAATAACAGCCCATGGTGACGGCCAGTCAGCTACCATCTTATTGGCTGGGAGTGCCCAGCTCCCTAGCGTAGTTGGCTAAACCGGATTGCGCGGTGACCGGGTGACGAACTTCTTGTGGTCCGGGTTCACTCCCGGGAGTAGGCAAAAAGCCACATTTCTCCCAGATTTACCATATTTACACTGGAATCAAGGCTGAAAGGTTGCGATATCCATAATACCGAGCCTAAGGGTTAACAACTCATGGCTTCTGGATACTAAAACAAACAAACAAACATTGGCTGGGAGCAGACATCTAGACTTTCAAATCTGTGCCCTTTGGCTCAAGACATCCAGTTTCAGCAAATTAATCAGCTCACATTCTACAACATGCTTGTTAAGAAGCAGTGGATTTATTCTCTCCAACCTCTGCACACACCCCCCCCCCCCCCCCCCCCAATAGGACCCCAGAATCCAACATATGAATAATATATTCAATCTAATTTTTTGAGTTAGAAGAGCAATAGTTATACTAATGCCCAGATGAGCGAGTTGCTTTGCCCATGCCCAGATCAGCAAGTTGCTTTGCCCGAGTCCTTTTAACTCCTTTCCTCCAAACAATGGTGAACTCACAAGTTCCGTACATTTGCAGCCGACAAATTTTCCAAATGTGAGATAGGCAAGATTGGCAAAGAATAAAATATAACATGTCATATCACGCACAAAACCAGCACAGGCTGAAATATGAAGAGCTGGCAGAAATATACATTAGTAACCCTTTGTATACACGGGAGGATGTGATCAGTTGAAAACTAACATGGCAGCATTATTGAAAACTAAGCCCATG